CCCCAAAACCCCAAAACCCCAAAACCCCAAAACCCCATATTAAAGCTAAAAGATTACACAAAAATATAAAAAATATCTGAAATGGAATTTAGGGAATTTATTTGGTACTTGCTCTACCTCTATATCTTCTATAAAACCCTTGGCTGGGTCTATTTCTTGATCATTGCATACCAGAATTACCAAAAAGGACAAAGGATCCGTAAAGAAAGAGATAGCAAGATTTATGACTTCCCAGAAGAGAATAAGGAAGTTCTTGTTTGCACAACTATCCAAGAGCTTGTTGATGGTCAGATCTCGGGAAAATTCACAGCTACAGATATAGTCAATACTTTCGCTAAGAGATGATACATAATTGGCAGGAAGTACAACTATACTTGTGACGAAATGTTTGAAAGAGCCCTCAAAGAAGCAGAAGAGAAGGATACTCAGCTCCAGTCTCTTCTGGATCAAGGTAGAGATCCTAGGAATGCTCTTGGCAAGCTTCATGGTGTTCCTTTTTCAGTAAAGGATCATATCTGGGTTGAAGGTACTATCTCATCCCTTGGTGTTTCTTCGATGGCTGATAATGTGAGGAATAAAGATACTTATATAGTGCAAGCTTTGAGAAAAGAGGGAGCAATCCCTCTTGTAAAAGGTAACACTCCTGAAGGATGCTTCAGCTTCCACACTACTAATTATATCTGGGGTGAAGCAAAGAATCCATGGGATACATCTAGAACATGTGGCGGATCTACAGGAGGTGACTCAGCTCTGGTTGCATCTGGATGTATCCCATTTTCCATTGGTTCAGATATGATGGGTAGTCTACGAGTACCAGCCTTGTTTTGTGGAATTTACTCATTATTTCCAACTCTAAAGAGACTTTATGCTAAGAGAGCAGATACTTACCTTCAAGATAACATTTTTAATTTCGAATTAATGAAATATGCACTTGGACCGTTAGCAAGAAATGCAAGTGATCTGACCCTTCTATCCGAAATTATCTTTTCTGAAAATGTTTATGGAGAATACAGAAGATATCCTAAAATTCCCTTCAACAAGACTCTTCATTCAAACAACAACAATCTCAAAATAGGAATTCTTAATGACGTTGGGAAATTATCGGCTCTTTCCAAAACAGCTGAGAGATCAATCGAAATTACCGCACAGATTCTAGAAGACAATGAACACGAAGTTGCAAATGTCGACCTCATTGAAGACGTCAAGGAGCAGTCTCAAATGATGCTTCTCTGCGGCATCTACACGTTCACAATTCCTTTAAGAAATATCTGGCTGAAATCCAAAGATATTGTGAATCTAAACACTTTCTCTAGTATAATTTTGGGATATACCCCAAAAGTTATTATCAAAATAGTTGCAGTTATTCTGAAACTCTTTGGAGAAAAGAGGAACTCTTTTCTCTTGAAGTCCACAATTGAGCCATCTGCTCAAGACATCATGGACTTTACCATGAAGAGAGATCAAATGGTCCAGAAGACAGTTGAGAAGTGGAAGGAATTAAATCTAGATGCTTTAATTGTTCCCACATATCCAATTCCTGCATTCAAGAGGGACAATTTTGAGATGATCAAGCTAATGCCAGGAGGATATAGGCTCTCATGATTTTGGGGATTTCCTTCAGGGTTTGTACCAATAACTACCGTTAGAGAGGATGAGCAAGAATATATTGATGCTAATCATAATGACAGTATTTCAAATGCATGTGCTGAGTCTATGAAAGATTCAAAAGGAATGCCAATGGGTGTTGAAGTAATATGCATGCCTTATAAGGAAGAACAGGTACTCAGAATTATGGAATTGCTTCAAAAGGATTCAAAATTTCACGTCAAAAATCCATATCCTGATATTCACTAAAGTTTTGTTTCAATTTAATGCGATCTCTTTGGGGTTTTGGGGTTTTGGGGTTTTGGGG